TTCTAATCCTCGGAGCGCGAGGCATTGCGCGCCCCGTGTGTCCCGTACATGCACGCTGCCTCTCCAGCCCTCTCGCCTATTCCTTCGGCTACTAGGTATCGCCCGTTCGCTCCGCACGTACACGCGCGCGCCATCTCGTGCTCCCAGCGCTCGCCGTCCATCTCGCGCGCGTGTCCTTCATCTCCCATCACTCCTACGCCCGCAAGGCTTCTACCCGCGTCGCTGGTACTCGCGTGCCTGTCGTGCGCCTCGCCCCAGCTGGTCAACTGCCGCGCGTCCTTGCTACTCTCGCAGTTGCTGCCCTTGCTCGACGTTCCCGTGCCCTCATAACGCCTTCTCGGTGTCGTCTGCGTTCCGTGCCATTCGCCACCCACCCGATCATCTATGTCTTCTTGTTTCGCCCATGCGCCTCCACCGTCGGCCGTGCACCCACGGGCGTTGCATTCATGCGCACGTCCCTGCTCGTTCGACCCCTTCGTATGTTCGCGCGCATCAAGGTACGATGCGTGCCGCTGACTCGTGCTCGCACCCCCGTCGCCAGCCGACTCCAAGTGCTCGCCCGGTTGTCTCAGTCCGTCCCATGGGTCCCATCCCTCGATGCGCTTACCTTCCATGTTCGTGCAATCTCCGGCACGCCAAACCCATCCATCTTCTATTCTTTTCTTACCTCGCCTTCGAGCCTCCATCTTCCATGCTCGTCTCTTTCTCGCACATGGCTTACACCAACACTTCTTCTCTTTAGCCTTCACCTTGTCTTTCCTTCGAGCTCGTTTGGTCTTGCGTCTCTTAGGCTTAAGTTTAGCTCGTGGACCACATCCCTTCGGCCAATCCCTCACACATGATGGCCGGTAAATAGGACTAGATGGCTCCTCCAATATGTTTTCTAGCCATATATCGAGATCGTCGCCACCTTTATCCTCCGACTCACCTGGGTTGATGACCACTTCCGTATCATTCCCCTCCTCTTCGAGACTTTCCTTGTCTTCAAGGATCAGAAAATTCAGCGCTCCTTCATCTTCATGGTCATGAGCATCGATCACCATTGCTTCTCGGGCTTGTACGAGTTGTCGCTCGTACTCTTCGATATTCCTTCGCTCATGAAGCTCATCTAGATATGTTTTCTCCCATGGTGTGAGCTCTCTTTCCAAACCTTCCAACATCTCAAGATCTTCCCAATCTAATTCATCTTTTCGAAAATAATAGGGAAAAATTTGGAAAAAAATCGAACCCACAACAAAGACCCAAAAAAATCGAACTAAAAAGAAATTTGGCCCCTTAACAAAAGGTAATAACCGAAACAAAAATCAAACAAAGGACTAGATGACACTCTTTTTTTTTTAAAGACTCACGAAAAATAATTGAAAAATTCGAACAAAAATTCGAAAATTTCGAACAAAAAAGAACAAAAATTCGGTCCCCTCAGCAAAAGGCAAAACCAAAAAAATAAAAAAAAGATAGATAGATAACAACACGATCAGCACCTCTCAATGAAAGCACCAATGATAGCAGACCGTGTTTTTATCTATACGACGGATTGTGAATAAACGTGCACTAGGGCCTTCGTTTATTCACGATAGATGTATCTAACAGACGCACTTCGGCCTTCTCCTAGACACTGTGACTTCAAGACGCTCTAATGGCCTTATCTCTGACACTGTATGTAAACACGCACTAACGGTCTTGTTTAAACACACGTAAGAACAACAGTTCCCCTCTCAATTGGCTCACCAATCAATTCTATATTCAACTCTCAACATGTTCAATAATGATGAGTACATGGGTATTTATAGGTGCATAAATTAAATCTAAGCCTAAATAAACTAGATCTCCTATATCTTGCAATAATAGAAATCCTAATACTCGAAAGCAATAAAATCCTACTATTACCAAAATACTAATTAATTGTCTTGCACACCAAGTATCTTGATGCACAAGTAATTCAGTCCTAACTCAAACTCTCGGCCGCCCCAACGCACCGCCTTCCATTCGTGCGCGTCGACCCTCGGCTTTCCTAATCCTCAGCGCGCGCGATGCCATCCCGTACGCGCACGCCGCCACTCCAGCCCTATCGCCTATTCCTTCGAAGACTAGGTATCGCCCGTTCGCTCGCACGTACACGCGCGCGCCATCTCATGCTCCCAGCGCTCGCCGTCCATCTCGCGTGCGTGTCCTTCGTCTCCCAGCACTCCTATGCCCGCAAGGCTTCTACCCGCGTCACTGGTACTCGCGCGCCTCGCCCCAGCTGGTCAACTGCCTCGCGTCCTTGCCACTCTCGCAGTTGCTGCCCTCGCTCGACGTTCCCGTGCCCGCATCACGCCTTCTCGGTGTCGTGTGCGTTCCGTGCCATTCGCCACCGACCTGATCATCTATGTCTTCTCCTTTCGCCTATGTGCCTCCACCGTCGGTCGTGCACCCACTTGCGTTGCATTCATGCGCACGTCCCTGCTCGTTCGACCCCTTTGTATGTTCGCGCGTATCAAGGTTCGATGCGCGCCGCTGACTCGTGCTCGCACCCCCGTCGCCAGCCGGCTCCAAGTGCTCGCCCGGTTGTCTCAGTCTGTCCCATGGGTCCCATCCCTCGATGCACTTACCTTCCATGTTCGTGCAATATCCGGCACGCCAAACCCATCCATCCTCTATTCTTTTCTTACCTCGCCTTCGAGCCTCCATCTTCCATGCTCGTCTCTTTCTCGCACATGGCTTACACCAACACTTCTTCTCTTTAGCCTTCACCTTGTCTTTCCT